CTGCGGCTCCCCAACAGCGGGCGGCCGCCTCTCGGCTTCTGGGGACTGGCGGGCCCAGACACCTGGAGGTTCCTTCCCATGGGCCAGGAGAAGCCAAATCTCCAAAGCTTTTGCTAAAATCTGCTCACACCTAAACGTTGGCCGCTATCATAAGTCAGAACTAAAAAATAAAATCAAACACTGCCCGTGTCTGGGTGGGATCAGCCCCAGCACCTTCCAACGCCACACGCAAGGGTGTGTCCACAAGTGAGTTTTTGTGTTAACCACAGTGGCGATGCTGAGGGGCCTAACCTCCAGGAGCCTGTCCCTTCCAGGGAGGGGAGGACCTGCCTAGCAGATAAGCGGCCGCCCCAGGGGCACGGGAAGGACAGCGGGGTGCCGAGGCTGGCCAGCAGTTCTGTTCTGCACCAAACCCCAGGGCCTGAGCCACAGGCTGCATCCCCACCCTGTCCCTCTGGGCTGGGGGCTCGGCCCTGCTGACCTCCAACTCCAGACCTGCCCTTGGCGTGGCCCCGGCCCCGGGCACCTGCTCAGAGCCCTCACCTGCCCTCCTGGCCACCCTCCGCACCTCCGGCTCACTCAGGTGGCCCCCCCGTGCCTCCTCATTGGGCTTCACACGCTGGGCTTCTTCCCAGACGCTAATCCTGCCCAGCGCTCCTGACCATCCTAGCCCTCTAAATCCCCCTGCCCCTCGATCCTGCGCCAACTCAGCTTCTACTCGTCCTGTGACATTTAAAAATATCTGTCCAGCCTTGGCATATAGAAACCAATACCCCCAGCTGTTTAAATACCACTGCCTCGCGCGGCCCGCACATGCCTCCACTTCCAGTAGAAGCGTAAGCTGACCCAGCACGCAGGGCCGGCTGAAGCCTCTGCTCCATCCCGCCACTCTGAATTTGGCTCCTTCATCAAGTGTCCTGTCAGCGCAGGCCCGCTCCCCACCCTGCAAGGTGAAGGCAGGCGTGGGCTCAGGGCCTCTGAGCAGCAGGGCAAGGCGCGGGTCGTCTGTGTGCCCGGGACACGGGAGCATGTGTCTGGAGCATGGTGTGGTGTTCGCCACAGCTGTCCCTCTGCTCTCCCAGCTCTGACCCCAATGGGCCCCATGGACCTGCTCTTAATATAGCGCTGAGAGGCCCAGCAGCTGGCTGCGGCAACATCTTTCCACACGAACGGTGACAACTGACATCACACTGACTTGGGTCCTGGATGTTCCAAATGTGCATTCTCCTAGGAAGACCATAGCTGAGGTCTGCCTGGTCACTACAAACACATCCACTTTGCTTTGGGAACGGGGGAAATCGCCAATGATCAACGCGGGAGACTTTAAAAGGGGGCCCGAATGATGGATGGTGGCTTGAAGAGACTCCTGGGGCTCATGAAGTAAGGGGCTACTCCCCCAGCAAGGGTTCCCTGGGTCTGTGCGGTGACTAACTGCTTCGTGGGTAAGAGGAAGGGAGAGCAGGGACCATGACTGTGACTTGCTCTCCCCGGGGCGGGGGATGAGGGCAGCTTCAACAGATCCCAAAGAACTCAGAAAAAGTGGGGGTAAAATGATATGATTTTGGGGATTTAGATGCTTCAAAGGACACCCAGAGAAAAGGTGGGGATGACAGAGGGAAACAGAGTGCAGGGGCTGATGTGCTGGGGCCCTTGGCCTCATCTCACCTCCACGTGCTTGGAAATTTCCCTAACAACAAGTTTAAAAATATACACATGGGAAAAAATATTCAGCAGAAATTTGCTGAGGGCCTAGTGTGTGCTAGAACTCTTCTGGGCACTTGTCGGTTTACACAAAAACAAGAGACAAGAGCAGAGCCCGGCGGCCGGCAGTAGTGGCGTGGCCAGAAATCCATCCCCTTTGGCCACGGCACAGCAGGTCCAAGCCCCACACGCCCTGGATTTGTGTTAAATGTCCCATTCCACTGACCCCTGGAGATAGTCTGAACACATACCTTTAAAATGTAGAATTTAAAATTACTACAAGGAGCCCTGTAACTCCCCAGCCAACCCAAGAAAGCACAGAGCCAATAACCTCACCGCCCAGAACACCCCGCTCCCCTCCTGGCCCGCCTTCTCCACCAGAGGTGAAAAAGACATCCCCGGGCTTCGTCCTGCGCTCGTCGTGAACCTCAGTGTAGCTGCTCGTGTACATCACGGCTCAGTTCTGCGTGCTTCTGAACTTTCGGAAAAGCGTATCCTACCGCCCGTCTGAATACATACTTTTAGGCACAGGCTCTTTTCTGGAATTTCTAGCAACCAATCAAGGACAGAGAGCATGATGGAAGGCCCACTCCCCCAGCGAATCCCTGGAAAAGCCCCGCATGAGGAAAGGCTGCAGCGGGAGCGGGAGGCGTGCCCGCCAGAAGTGAGTGGCCTGGGCTCGGCCTCCGCTGCGGGGGACAAGGCCCTGCTGAGGCCAAGGGCACGGAGGGTGGGCAGGGAGCATCGCTGATAAGCCTGTTTCTTGGCTGCGTCTGCACACAGAAACATGTGAAGTGATGGCAAATGTCATGGTAAAGGCAGATCAAGACCGGGGGAGTGTATAGTGCAGTGGTAGAGTGCATGCTTAGCATGCACGAGGTCCTGGGTTCAATCCCCAGTACCTCTGTTAAAAAAATAAATAAAACTTATAAGGCAGATCAAGACAACTACATCTGTCGATTTATTA